TTACTATGTTCTACGTGGGTAAGCATTCCAGGACACACAAATGGAATTTGTCTTAGCATCCTCTATTGGATGAAGGATAGTTCTCAAGATGGGACAGAAACAGTATCCAACCAAAGGATAAAGACATTGAATTGAGTTGCAGACATTTACTCACTGGCCTTGAAAATGAAACAATTTGCTAATCTCTCTGAGTTTACTTCTAAAGATAAAGGAGAGGATAAGACCTGTTCTATAATTTTATATGCTTATATGTTAATACTAAGTGAGATAACATATGTTTAGAACCCCTAGCATTATTTTTTTTTTATCAAGGTTATATTTTTTTAGTTGAAAATGTAAAGCATGCTCGTGGTAAACAATACAAAGGGAAAGGAAGAAGGGAGAGAACAAATTACCAAATAAATAATATGAAAAAGGTAGAGTGAGAATCTTGCAGCTTTATGTTATTATAAAGTTTTAGAATGATAATAGTTATTGTTATTAGCACAAGTTATGGCAAGAAAAAAATCCCTTATTCATTCTTATAGCTCCTTATTTCCATAAAATAAGAGATCAAACTAGTTTATTTTTAAGTATTTTTGCATCTATATAAAATTCTCCAGAGGAAGTCACCAGAGGAAGCCACCAAAAATATTTTAAATAACATAAATATTGCTCTATGTTTTATTAGAATGAATGTGAAGAATAAATTAAAGTGTCAAGAAAAGATATTGGGACAATAAATATTTGTTATGTTTCAATCAGAGTATTAAAAAATGAACATTTTGAAATGTACATGTAACTCATTTCCAAAATTGTCCATGAATTTATCTAATGAATAGACAAAAGCAAGTTTATAAACAAGTCAGAATTCTGATCTTACTGTTATATTATCTAATAAGGACTCATTAGAATAATGATTGGATTAGTGAAATTATTTTGTTCAAGTAAATTGCATGAATAAACAACTGTATAAATAATGACCAAAAGCAGTGCTATTGAAATAATTCCACTGATTAGGTAAACAGGGGTTGAATTAACAATAACGATGTTGATCCTATATTAATTCAACGAACATTTTGAGCACCAGTTATGTTTGAGGCAGTGAGTTGGATGGTAGAGCTACAAAGACTCAGAAGTCAGAATTCACTGTTTTGTTAGTGACAAAGAAAAATACATAGATGGTGTATCAATCAGTGCCCTAAGAGTCAAAGGTATATACAGGGATCTATAAAAATTGTGACCTGAAAGGCTACTGGCTCTATGAAACAAAGTACTCAGCCTTTCTAGTAATCAGAGAAATAGAAATTAAGAGAAAAACAAACAAGCAAACAAACTGCATGTTGGCTTTCTGGGATTGGCAAATATTAGGACGCTGCATAATAACAATTGCTTAAAGCGTATTAAGAAATGGAACTTACCTGGTCAGAGTAGATTCCTCTGCAGCTATCCAAGAGAATAATATGAATGTGGTCAGAAGAAAGCTTATACCCATTCCTTTGTCCAGTGCCTTGGTCCCTATCTTAGGCTTATATGATAGGGAAATTTGTAACTCAAGTCTATGACACAATAGGAAAATTTTAATTTCAGCACTATTTCAAGCAGTTGGAGGTTGCAAACTGTATGCCCATCACTAGAGAAATGTAGAAGAAAAGATGCTATGATTTACTTACTTTGGAATTAGGAGAAATACATTTGAAATATCTGGAGCAGCTTTAAAACATGATATTGAGTGAAAAATAAAAAGAAACAAAACAACATCTAGAACACAGTATCATTTAGTAAATTAAGATAATAAGGGGGGAAATGTATGTTTTCTAGAGTTGCACATCTAGCCAAAGAAATAGCACAAGCAACTTGAACAATTTTGAACAAGTTCTAAAGGAGAAAAGGAGGAATGGGATGTGAGAAATAGAAATGAAAAGAAGGAAAACATTGATAAAATTAAAACGAGGACCTTGCAGAGACTAATGAGGATGTCGGGTGAAGTCTAAGGAGTATAATCAACTCAGCTTTCCACTTGACATTCAAATAGCTCTAGATAAATAGACGAATAAGAGTAACAGAACAGAATAAAATGATATGAAGCATGATATGGAAGCAGAGATGGGGAAAAACACAACTATTTATAGTCCAAGAGCAATCAAAAGGGTTTCATAGAGTTGATGATGTCTGAAGGCTAAATAGGAGGCAGACAAATGAAAAATGTGAGGCAGTAAAGATAAGGGGATGTGGGGAAGATGCTTTCAAGATAGGAGACCAGGATGGAAAATGACATGAAGACATTACATACAATGTTGTGTTTAGATAACTTCTCATGCAGTTGCCTTTAATGTGGGATATTTAGGGCTTCTAAGGTGGAGCTAGTGGTAAAAATAACCTGCCTGCCAACACAGGAGACATAAGAGACATGGGTTTGATTCCTGGGTCAGGAAGATCCCCTGGAGGAGGGCATGGAAACCCACTCCAGTATTTTTGCCTGGTGAATCCCATGGACAGAGGAGCCTGGCGGGCTACAGTCCATAAGGTCGCAAAGAGTCAGACACAACTGAAGTGACTTAGCACACACATACACGTGGGATATTTAGGGGGATTCTGAGATACTTCTGGAAAGATGCAGGGGGGAAAGATTATAAATTTTATCAAAGACCTAATTATTTTAAGGATACAAGTAAGTAGGACCTAATATAAGGAAATGCGGCTGAAAATGGGAACAGGGTACAATTGCAAAAGATACTAAAGAGGTAAGAGTTGACAGCTCATGGCTGCAAGAAGTGTGGGAGAGGCAGGAGGCCAGGAGATGGCTCAGAATCTTAATTCAATGATAATAGGATTCACTAGAAATGAGTAAAGCAAAATATGGAGAATTTTGGAATAAAATGGACTAAAATAAATAAAATTTTTATTCCAAAATTTTGGAATTTTGAAATAAAAATAAATTCCATCCCATCAAAACTATTTTCCTTGTTAAACTTTTCCTCCAAGGAAATTACCCCAATAGTCCAACCAGTAACATCCAATAATTTTAACAACAGCAGATGAAGAAATGGTTTCCAATGTTTGTGTTTGCATTTTTTATTAGTCTATATTAATTTGTCTTTGGGTGACTGATTTGGGTGTCTTTGACTTTGAAGAAGCCTTAGAATGATGACTTAGCATCAGCATGGTTGGTCAAGGTATGACTAAACCAACTCCTAATGACAACATGCTTGCATTTTTAAATTGTGAGGTTGAATATCTTTTCATATGATTAAATATTAGCATTTAATTTATCTTTCATCTAAATGTATGTTAATGTTTTAGATTATTAATCTTTTCATCTTTCCTTATTTCATTTCACAACTTTTTATATTAAGGAGATCAGGTAACTTTGTAATCATGTGCTTTTACAAATATTGTTTCCCAATTTTTATTTTTACTCTTTTATGCAAAAATTCCAAGTAATTTATATAATATTTACATATATTTTCCTTATGGCCTCTGAGTTTTGGGTCTTATTTATTGAGGCCAAACTCCTCCTATGTTACTGTTTTTTTAAAAACATACTTGAAGATAACTTGCTTTCTAAAAATAATCCAATTGTTTAGTTGCTATTTGTACTATGAAGGTGCTTAGCTGTTGATTTTCTACATGAGTTTCAGGGAATACCACTGTCCCATCCATATTTATTTTTAAGTAGTGGGACCTGAGTGGAGATTTCTGAGTCTCAAAATGACAACAAATAATTTCTCAATAATGCTTACTTTCTGATCCACACAACTGGTTGATTTTGTCAACATGAGCTACTTTTTCCTTCAGATGTTGTATCTCCAGAAACATGTCATAGCTCATTTGATAAACTCAGCTTTCTTTCCTATGTCCCTTATGAAAGATTGCTCAATTGTCCCCAGACTTCAGTGGTATTATCTGAAAATGATGAACGTGTGTTTATTTAAACACAATAGGGTTGGGCAACAGAAAGTGCACTTGAGTTTAATAATTGCTTCTTTACCAACCCACCATGCCACCAGAGCATACGCCTCTCAGAGGCAAGGATCTTGTCTTAATCATCAAGGAATACCCAGAGTATAACACAGTGCTTAATCCAGAGTTGCTTAATAGGAATGTGAGGACAGAGTAAATGAGTGAATGGTTGAACAAACTAAGGTTCATAGTCTTATCTCTATCACTGACCTAATATGTGACCTTGTATAAATTACTCAGTCTTTCCAGGCTTCAGTTTTCTGTTCTGCCAAACAAATATAAATTCTAGCCTGACTGTATCAAAGATTTGCCTGAAAGAACAATAAGGTGATAGACTTGGCACTGATTTGAAAAAAAAATTCAAAAATTGATATAATCATATCAATATACATTTAATAACTTCTTTTTTAGGATATGGAATATTGCTAACTACAAAGAATATGCTAACTATGGGACACTAACTGCAATTTTAAAATGAAGATCAGAAAAAATAATACTTATTGGGGGAATGTATTGACTAATAAAGTATCATGATTATCTTTCTTATATTATTATCATTATCAGTATTATTATGAAAAAGAGCAACCAGGTGGAAAAAGTCACATACTCAATATTGACTATAAAAATCACACACTCAATACCTGTTTTATGCGTCCTCCACAATTTTGTCCTCCTATTGGTTTATTAGTCTTTATGTCTATACCAGGAAGCTCCTGGTGCTTTGGAAAGTTTTATGTACAATTTTGGCCTATTTAATTCAATTCATCAGTATTATGCTCAGTTAAATTAACTTATGATAGACATTCAGTTTTAGATATGAACACATTCAAAATGTTATCATACTTCAAATACTTTGTCAGCCTGAAAGGATCTTTTGAATCTTTCATTGAAAGCTTTGCTTTTTACGTGGGGGACTGAGGTAGGTAGTCACAATAAACGTGTAGGAGAAATAAGGAAGATTTTGGAGCAAAAAATATGATTAAAAAAGGAGAAAATTGATGTATTTTAAAGCAGTGTTTATATTATGTATTTGTTAATTTTATTCTATTTCCCTACAGGTTTAAATGTTTTTTGACTACTTGGCTACTGATTAGAGAACACAAAATGAATAACTCAACAAACTCCTCTAACAATGTGGCTCTGACCAGTCCTTATAAGACATTTGAAGTGGTTTTTATTGTCCTTGTGGCTGGGTCCCTCAGTTTGGTGACCATTATTGGGAACATCCTGGTCATGGTCTCCATTAAAGTCAATCGCCACCTGCAGACCGTCAACAATTACTTTTTGTTCAGCTTGGCCTGTGCTGACCTCATCATTGGTGTTTTCTCCATGAACTTGTATACCCTTTACACTGTGATTGGCTACTGGCCTTTGGGACCTGTGGTGTGTGACCTTTGGCTTGCCCTGGACTACGTGGTCAGCAATGCCTCAGTAATGAATCTGCTCATCATCAGCTTCGACAGATACTTCTGCGTCACGAAACCACTCACTTATCCCGTCAAGCGGACCACAAAAATGGCAGGTATGATGATCGCAGCTGCCTGGGTCCTCTCCTTTATCCTCTGGGCTCCAGCCATTCTCTTCTGGCAGTTCATCGTAGGGGTGAGAACTGTGGAGGATGGGGAATGCTACATTCAGTTTTTTTCCAATGCGGCTGTCACCTTTGGCACGGCCATTGCAGCCTTCTATTTGCCTGTGATCATCATGACTGTGTTATACTGGCACATATCCCGGGCCAGTAAGAGCAGGATCAAGAAGGACAAGAAGGAGCCTGTGGCCAACCAAGATCCAGTTTCTCCAAGTCTGGTTCAAGGAAGGATAGTGAAGCCTAACAACAACAACATGCCTGGAAGTGATGATGGCCTGGAGCACAACAAAATCCAGAATGGTAAAACTCCTAGAGATGCTGCAACTGAAAACTGCGTCCAGGGGGAGGAGAAAGAGAGCTCCAATGATTCCACCTCAGTCAGTGCTGCTGCCTCTAATATGAGAGATGATGAAATAACCCAGGACGAAAACACAGTTTCCACTTCTGTGGGCCATTCCAAAGATGAGAACTCAAAGCAAACATGCATCAAAATTGTCACCAAGACCCCAAAAGGTGACTCATGTACCCCAACTAATACCACCGTGGAGCTAGTTGGTTCTTCAGGTCAGAATGGAGATGAAAAACAGAACATCGTTGCTCGCAAGATTGTGAAGATGACTAAGCAGCCTGCCAAAAAGAAGCCTCCTCCTTCCCGGGAAAAGAAGGTGACCAGGACGATCTTGGCTATTCTGTTGGCTTTTATCATCACTTGGGCCCCATACAATGTCATGGTGCTCATTAACACCTTTTGTGCACCCTGCATCCCCAACACAGTGTGGACAATTGGTTATTGGCTCTGTTACATCAATAGCACTATCAACCCTGCCTGCTATGCACTTTGTAATGCCACCTTCAAGAAGACCTTTAAACACCTTCTCATGTGTCATTATAAGAACATAGGCGCTACAAGGTAAAGCATCTTTGTAGAGAAGAAAGGTAGTCAAGGGGAGCCTCGTGAAAGGAAACAGAATAAAAGAGCTCCTAGTTTTCAAATCTCTGCCGTTGCACTTTATAGTCTTATCATGGAATGTGCAATTAAGGAGCCCAACAGTGACACTCTTTGGTGCCTATGCTCCAGTTTGAGAAACTTGTACCTTATAAACCCTGTCAGTTGAGGAACAATGAGACCATAAAGGAGACATGTTGGAATTGTGGATTTAAGAAGTGACCTATGCTTTCTTGTACTCTCTTGAAGAAGGGCTTCTGAATCTATAATTTTATCTCTGCACAAAAAGAATAATAACCTCGCTGTGTTTTTTCATTTTGTGTTCCCAAGTGAAAGGCCACAGTTACAAACTAAGGTGGAGACTTAAACATAAAGGAAGCCATTATACAATGGGGAAGTGAAGAAACAAGATCAAAAAAGGATATAGAAATGGCCTCCAGAGTGTTAGACATATATTATTCTTTTGTTATGATTTCATGTGGAGAATTGCAACATAATAAATGCTTACCTTTTTTATCTTTCCCCTTTCCCATCATAAAAAGAGAGCAAACAAGCGAAAACTTAGCTAGATTGCATCATTATTTTTGTCATATGGCATTGGATTTTTTATTGCCGTGTTTTACACTGTGTAAGTGAAAAATCTGCAGGACTTTCACTAAATAAGAGACAGTCACGAGAAAGGGTATTTCAGCCCTGCCCACTGTGTCTTTTGCATTCTTTTGGGGTATAACACTGTGAGGATTTAGTTCACTTATGATTCTTTATGTGAAATATCTTTGCCAATCTGGTTTTATACTAAACAAGCCCCTTATTTTAATAGAATAGCCTACCTAATATATAAACATGCTTAAGAAGCCAAAGTCAATTTTTTAAAATGAGGTTTCATCAAATTCAACAATGATCATTTTTTTCTTTTCTTTATTTTTTTGGAGAAAGTTTACTGAGGCCAGGTGAATTTTGAGATAAGAAAATAGGTTGAAAGGGCATCCTGTTTCAACCTGATCTGCCTGACCTATGTATGACATGCTAACTTGTAAAACATGAACTCCTGGCCTTTGCAAGCAGGAATAAGATGCTGCTTTATTCATCTGGAATCTTAAATAGGATTAAGTTATTCACATGACACCAATGACTTTGTGGTCAATCCCAAGAGAATAAGACTTTCTCTTCAATGCTTGCTAAAGGATGATGTTAAATTTATAGTCAAGTGAGATTTATTACTGTCTTATGACCTGTGGAGGGAAAAAAAATAGAGAACATTTACTGAAACCACATGTTTTGTATTCCTCAAATTGTCAATTCCCCTGAAAGTTTTTTAACTTCAAAATTCTGTTGATAGAAGTAGTGATCTTTACGGAAGAAATGTCTTGGATAGCTAAACAGGCCAAGCCAGCACAACAGAACCTGAGAGAGAGTAGGTGGCTGCACCTGCGCCCCTTCTCACCATTTTTTAGTTCTAGACCACAGAAAAATCGGATCAGGAACAGTTAACCTGTCTGTGTATGATTTTTTATTGTACCTATACCACTTCTCACCATTTTTAAATTCTAGACCATAGAAAAGTCATATCAGGAACAATTACCCTTGTCTATCTAAGATAGACATTTTTATTGGATCCCAAATAAATATACAATTATATTGATTCAAGCTTAGTTATTTTTACCCCTCAACTTTTTTTTCTTACGGTATTTCCTATGGTCTTCCAATCAGATTTTATAAAGATGGTCCAATCAATAGAAATCAAATTTATAAAACCCTTTCAAATTTCATATTTTGCATTTTGGGTTTATGGACTCTATGATATCTTGATCAGTAGTATCCATGTGAGTTGCATGATGAATTTGTCAGTATTAGACTTTAGCACTTTAATTACAACTATTTTGTGTCACTTGCCTCACTGATGGCATCTCAACAATTTTGAGAGCTGAAAAAAAAAGCACAAAACAAATAACAATGAAAAAGAACAATTAGTAAGAAGCAAAGTGCCAATAATTTTTGTACATAAGTTATCCTTTATAAAATAACTTTCTGTTTCAAAAACTTCAGTCATCTCTCACAACCAAATCTTCTATTTATAAACATACAGCATCAGTTAATACTGGTGTCTTTATTCTACCTTAATATAAACTTTTACATTTTAAATCCATATTTATTTTTATTTTGTGTCTTCAAGTAAATGCATCAATTGAGGGGAAAGTACATCAAGCAAATGGGCTGTTTGGTTTCTTGTATACAAAACAATTGACTGGCTGAATATTTCACTTATTAACTTGTGCTGTTACAATGTAGATTCAGCTTTAGTTGGGTTGAACTTTTTGGATTCAAGGATTGAGGATTCTGGATTTGGGTCTTTTTTTGTCTGCTCTAACAATCCAACTCATCATGAATCAAACTGCCTCTAACTCTCCATTGCCATTGCATCTTTTCCTTTCTTCTGTTCTTGATCTTCACCGTATCTACCACAACCTCATTGAAAAAGAAATCACCAAAAATTAAAGAAAGGAATTGAACATAGACTGATACATCATGGATGCTTTGTCAACTGGAATCAGAAAAAGTGAAAAGAATACTGAAAATAGTAGATGATTAGAAAGATGTGGAGACTGTATCCAGAGGCTTGCGTTAACTATTTATTGGATTTGTTTATTTCAGTGGCTGCCAGCCAGGGACCATTTTGCCTCCCAGGGGACATTTAACAATGTGTGGAAACGTTTTTGATCGTCACAACTCAAGGGAGGGCTATTGGCATCTAGTCACTAGGCTCTGGGGATGTTACTGAACAGCTTATAATGCACAGGATAGACCCCGCAACTAAGGATTGTTTGGTTCAAAATGTCAGCAGAATCAAAGTTGAGAAATCCTGTTTTAAGGGATGCTAGAGCTTCCTTTATATAAGTGGGAAAATAATCCTGTATCACTATTAGGACATCAATGCGAATTGTTCATCTGTTTGAAAAAGGTAATTTCACCAACCACGTACCAGACATACTGTCATCCATTGAGTCTGGTGTATTTGTAATTTACAGATTGGAAGCACAGGACACATCTGCATATCCCAAATCACCATACCATGCACACAACACATTGTTTCCAACATTTTAATGTCCAATTAGGATTGCACAGAGTCCAGTTAATTGAAGTAACTGGCTATTAAAATGGTTGCAATTGATATGGTCACTTTCTATTGGAGCTGCTGTTTTTCCTCTCAAAAACATTAAGAGCCTCTCTCAAAAACAACGTGATTCATCTCCTTTGTCTTCACTGGAAAGGTAAATATCTGTCAAGAATTTCTTCTTTCCTCATAGCAATAATGTAAATATCCAAGAGTGGTCTTATAAGAAGAGTTTAAGAATGTGAAAAAGCCAGTTCATTTCTTGAAAAAAGAAATGATTGCCTTTTTACCAGTTCATCATTAATTTAATGCCACCTCCCCAAGTGGTAGGACAAAGTCATCAATATAATAAGACATGTAGGATATGCTTTCTGGTGAATGTCAAAGCTGGAGTTTCCACATACTCCTGGCTCTTTGTCTGTTCACTGCTCTTTGGCCCTAAAGATACAACGTTGGGGGAGATGGGAATTTAAAATGATGGCAACATATACTTAGAAATGCAATCTACTTTTATTTTCTCCTACTAGTTCACAGGTAGTTGCCTTTTCCCCAGTTTGATAGTATCCCTTTCAACAATCACAGCACTGGTGTTGCAAATAGATTAGGGAAGCACCCAAAGCTGGATGAATTGTGCAAAGTGTATTTTCAGCATGTATATACAATACCTTGCCTCTCAAATATGCTTCTCTTAAAAGGGTGCACGCTACAGCATGAACTGTGTGCATATTTAATGTATCTTCCTGGAATATGCTGTACGCTTAATATACATATTCTATAAATAAAGTAATAAAATGTATAATAGAAATACATATTTCTGTATGCAAATAAATATATTATACACAAAATTTGAGTATGTAATATGGTGTTCGTGGCTTCAGAGTGACAAAGGTAGATTTTATACACCTAATTTTAAAAGAAAGTAGTATTTGCCTTTGAAGGGAGACATTAAAGAACCGCTCAAACTCTACCAATATTACTATTATACTGTTTCATAATCTTTGAAAACACAGCGTTTATTTTAAATATCTCTTGGAGGAATATATTAATAAATCTTTGCTGGTGTCACCCCATATGACAACAATGCTTTTTGCCTCTGTGTTCCTGAGAGTCCTCTAACTCTAATCTTCCTGGCTGTTTGGGTTCCAACAGCTGTGTTGATCTCACGTCTGATTGCCTGATGAGATTGCAACCAGTTCATTGCCATACAGCTTTGCTCTCCTCCAAATTAACTGATTTTTGTGAAATAAAAAATAATCATCCTGGGAGGAAAGGATGACCTTCAGAATGTTTTACACTTTGAAAAACAAGGAAAAATTGTACAAGCACTGTTTGTTACAAACCACTCTTTTCAGTCTGGGGGCAGTATAGCATCCCATACATTAATGCCAAAAAGTTGTGATGTCGTATGATGTTGAAAGTGTCTCTAAGAAAGTACAAAATATATGGTTTGTTTCTAAGTGTCCTACATCTTCTCCATAGCAGTTCTCATCCTTCCCTTGGCGCCCACTCAACTACCTACCCACATTCCTCAGAACGTTTTCTTTGGTCCATTAGCACGAGTCCATACTTGGCAAATTTTATGACCTTAAGTGATAGTGGACACGAAGTCTCAAGAAGCACTTGCATTTTAATACAAAAAGCATAAACACTGAATATTTGAAAGATTCATATTAGTTTTTATATACCAAGGCATGAAATGAGAAATACATTTTCCAGTGAACTCTAGTTTTGTTTGAAATCCGTGGCATTATTGGATGGCTACCCACTTCTGAAATTTTACCTTCTGTCTCACAGTGTCCACCCTTGTGAATTACTGCTTCTTATGGAAACCAAAATTCCTAGAAAAAAAGAAAAATGATGTTTTCTATCAATTCTCATTAGCTTCTTATTGTTCCAGTGAAACATTCGCATTTAATTTTTTAGAATTTGAATTGAAATCTGTATTGATGAATTGTCAAATGCTATTCCTGACTAGGTGGTTGGAAATACTGAGAGGAGAAAAGCATCTTGCCATCATAATGAAGAAACTTTCACTTTATAGCATGTATGTCTTTTTCAACCAAAAATGGAAGAAGCATAATGTGGTAAGTTGTAGAAAATGGATATTTAAGTAGTGACATTCTAGAATATCTATTCTTTGACTTCTTAAACAGACACACACACAGTAAGTCATGGGAAACCATGAAGACAAACGGGTACTTGCACCATTTACCCAGAAGTTCATCTGAATACTTCAATTATG